GCCTGTGCTCCCGCGGCGGGTGGTGGGGGGGACGGGCCGCCGCTGCCACAGCTGCGCTCCAGATGCTGCCCGTAGGGACCGTGCGTGGCCGGGGGGGACACAGACCCTGCGCCCGCGTGGCACCGTGGCACTGTGGCACCCGCCGCCGTGGGTTAGCGCGGGTGGGCGGCGCTGGCGGCTCAGCAGTAATTAGGACTCGGAGGCAGAAATAACTCACGACCCCGGCGTCGGCCCCCGCTGACGAGGTTGGGGAGGGAGCTGGCGCGCGCAAGCTGTCCCTGAGGGGTTTGGGTGCTGTCCCCCAAACCACGCTGTGTCCCCGGGAGGGGGACACTCAGCTGGGGGCGCCGAGGGCAGGGCTAGGCCTTGGCCCCCGGCCGGGGCGCGCAGGGCACCCCGGGGCGATGGCGGCCGGGGCTGCAGAGGCTGGGGCAGAGCTGGGAAGGGGCCGGGTCTCCTGAGCTCCCACCTGCGGCTTCTTCTGCGGGTTCCCACCACCTTGGTGGAATCCATCCATCCTCCATCCATCCCTCTTTCCATCCCTCCATCCATCCATGCAGTCATCTGCACATTGCTCCTTCTACCCGTCCGTGCTTCCATCCCCCCGTCCATGCATCCACCCGTCCGTGCTTCCATCCCCCCGTCCATGCATCCACCCGTCCGTGCTTCCATCCATCTTCACATCCATCTATCTACGCATCCATCCGCCCACACGTCCGTCCATCCATCCATCCATCCATCCATCCATCCATCCATCCATCCATCCTCATGTCCTTGCACCCGTGCATCCAGCCATGTGTCTGTTTGTCCATCCATGTATCCATGTATCCATCCATCCTCATGTCCTTGCACCCATGCATCCGTGTGTCTGTTCATCCGTCAGTCCATCCATCCATCCACCCATCCATCCATCCATCCATCCATCCATCCATCCATCCCCACGTGTTCATGCATCCATTCATCCAGCCATGTGTCTGTTTGTCCATCCATCCATCCATCCATCCGTCCATCCATCTGTGCATCCATCCTCATGTCCTTGCATCCATCCATCCATCCAAGCATCCGTTTGTCCATCCATCCACGCATCCGTTCGTCCACCAGCCCCCTCCAGGAGCGGGGCGGGGGGACCAGGCCGGGAGCCCTGCCCAGGCTGCCCCCTGCTCCCCGGAGAGGACACGCGCCACCCCTGGCCACACAGCCTCCAGACTTGCAGCGCTTCCATCCCTGAGGAGGGACCCCACGGCCACCTCGTCGGGGGGCAGCGGCGATTAAAAGGAGGAATTAATGAGGAGTTTCCCAGGTTGTGGATGCCTGGGGAGATGTGGCACCAGCACGGACCAGCGCGGGAGCAGGAGAAGCCACCAGGGATGGATCCCGAGGTGAAGATGGCGCCGGCAGGAGCCAACGCTCAGGTCTCGGCTCGCTGTGATGAGCGCGTCAGGGCTCAGCGGGGCAGCAGGGAGGTGAGCGGTGCGGGCGCAGACACATGGAGGCAGCCCCACGCCACGCAAGGCCCGGGCCGCGCGGGGACAAGTGGGGACACGTGGGGACAGCGCCACGGGACAGAGGTGAGGCAGGCACGGGCAGGCAGCGCTCCTGGTTGGCTGGTGGCCAGATGGCTATCTGCCTGGTTGGACACATGGATGGCTCATTGGCTAGTTGCACACTTGGCTAGAGAGCTGGCCAGTTGGCTACGTGGCTAGCCACGTGGCTAGGTGGCTGGTTGGCTGGCTGGCAGGTTGATGACTGGCCAGCTGCTTGGCTGGCTGGTTGGTTTGAAGGCCAACTAGATGGCTGCTTGGCTAGCTAGCTCGTCAGCTGGCTGGCTGGCTGGTTGGTAGATGGCTAGCCAGTTGCCTGGCTGGCTAGATGGCTAGGTGGTGGGTTGGCTGGCTGGCTGGCTGGTTGGCTAGCTGGCCAGTTGGCTGGTTGATTGCCTGGCTGGCTGGTTGGCTAGATGGCTGGCTGGCCAGTTGATCAACAGGCTGTTTGGCTAGCTAGATGGTTGGATGGCTAGTTGACCAACACGCTGGTTGGTTAGCTGGCCAGCTGGGTGGCCGGTTGACCAACAGGTTGTTCGGCTAGCTGGAGGGTTGGATGGCCAATTGACCAACAAGCCAGCTGGCTAGCTGGCTGGTTGGCTAGCTGGCTAACTCTCTGGCCAGTTGATGGACAGCCTGTTTGGCTAGCTGGCTGGTTGGGTGGCCAGTTGACCAGCTGGCTGGCCAGTTGACCCACGGGGTTTGCTGACTGGCCAGCAGTGGGCTGATTGGCTAGCCAGCCGGCTGGGCTAGCCTTGGCCCCGAGGACGGGGACGTGCCAGCACGTCCCATCCCAACGCTGGGCACCATCCCTTGCCCAACGGTCACAGCCCAGCTGCCGGCGGGGGGGGGGGGGGGGGGGGGGGGGG